GGCGTTGCCTGTCTCCATGGTAACAGGATGAAGGACAGAAAATTCAGTCCTAAGACTTAGGACATCTCGTGTAACCTTGGAATATTAAATTTTGCAAATAAGACAGAGCCTCGCACAGCCAGAAAAGGCTATCATTTATTTGTTCATTTGACAAGTATGGAGGGCCTACCCTGGGTCAGGTGCCGTTTTAGGTAGAGAGGGTACAATGATGTGCGAAATCGGCAAGGCCCTGCCCTCTGAGCTCTTCGGTCTAAGAGGAGAAATATTAACCAAAAAAAATGCAAGTAATTAGCTGGGATAAGGGGTAGGATGAAAGTGCCAGGGGCTAGGATAGCCAGTAGCAGAGGACCTGGTCACATCTGCAGAGGCAGAGAAAGCTTCCCTGGGAGAGTGCTCCAGTGAGCTGCTGGGTGGGGTGTGAGTAAGCATTCATCAGGGGAGGAGTGAGCAAGAGAATGTCCCAGAAGGAGACAACAGCATATGCAAAGTCGTAGATGGAAAGTAACAGAACAAAGTCCTGCAGTCTGGGGCATAGAGGGCCGGAAGGCGGTGGAAGCAAGCTAGTCAGCCAGGTGAGGCCAGGTAACTGGCTTTACTCTTTATTCTGAGTATAAGGAGGGCCAGTGAAGAGCTGTAAGCTGAGAAGGAGTTCACTTTTTGAAAGATCATTCTGACTTCTGTTTGAAGAATGGATTGGAGGAGGAGCAGGGTATACCAGTTAGGACAGTGGTCCACAGAGATGGTGGTAGAGCTGGTGGGGGTGGGCAGGAGGGGAACAAGTGGGAATGTTCAAGAGATAAATGTCAGGAGCTAGAACAGATGGTTCTTGATGGATTGGGGGAAGGTTTTGAGGGAGAAGGAAGTATCAAGGATGACTCTGGGTTTCTCACCGAGGCCATGGGACAGATGATGAACCAGGTTTCAGCAACATAATTTTTAAGTTTTTCCATCTGACCTTCTTTGGTCCAGGTACTGTGTTGGGCATTGGGGCTGCAGGCCGCGAGGATGGCCTGTCATGAGGGAAACCTATCCTTAACTGGGGTATCTGTGAATACAGTGAGGGGCGGTAAATGGTGCTGTAAGGGAGATACAGACAAAACTAATTTGGAGAGACACATCCAGAAAGACCTTGTGAGGAGGTGGGATCTGAGCTGAGCCATGAAGGATAGACAGGGAAAAGAGGGTGGATGACAGCAATCCAGGGAGCAGAGGCAAAGAAACAGCATTGGGAATGTCTAAAACAGCACAGGGTGGCCAGAAGGTAGTGGAAGGAGGGTAAGGCTGCAGGGCTGGCCACCACCATCCCTGCCTGCCCACAGAGCTGCTGTGAGGGTCCAGTGAGCTAAAGTAACATGTGAGCATTTAGTAAACTGCTACAACAGCTATTACAGTAATGTAATTCATGCAATGCACCAAGTACTCTACAAATACCCAAAGTTATGATTTGCGATCCCTGCCTAGAAGGACCATCTTATCCTCCCCTTTAAGAGTCCCTGACATTTGTATTGTTATCCCCATTTTCCAGGCGGGGAAACTGAGGTCTATTGTGGTCAAGAAATTGCCCAAATCTTGCAGGCAGTAAGCAGTCCAGAAGCCAAGATAAACCCAGCAGTTTCTAGTTTCTGAGAGGGTGCACAGGCTGGAACATAGAATGCTGTTCTGAGGAGATCTGCAGCTGGCTCAGAGCACCAGCATCAGCCATGCAGGCAGGCTCAGGCCTAAGCTGGCCGGGCTGCATTGCCACTCACGGACCTGTACCATGCTTCCACCCTGGGGCAGACCTTGTCTTGGACCCACAGAGGCACTGTAAGTGTCAGCCTTCCACCTGCCTTACTAGGAGTGGAGGGGCATTTGACAGATGGGCAGAACGCAGGGCACTGCAGAGCCAATGATGGCCAGTCAGTGTCAATCAGAGTTTTATGTTGTCCTCGAGGGCAGTTTTGTTTATAGGAAAACCAACAAAGGCTGCTTTGGTTTTAAAAACAAATATTTAATTTATAAAAGCAACAAACTTAAAATCTAGTAAAATTTAATAATCTACTTTAAGGTAGGTGTTATAACTTAATTTACCTGCAATTGACTAGGTAATTTGAAGTATAGACAATTTAAAATAAACTAAGCTTAAAAATGTAACTGTTGGGTTGTCATAAAAGTTCCATCATTGTTTAAAATTTATGAAATTGTCTTCCACCTTTCAACTTAAAATCACAAGTCAAAATTAATTATTCCATTATACATTTTATATTGGAATCACAAAGCTAATGTTTGATATTCTAATATAGCAAATTATTTTAAACCCATTACAAATACTTTCAAACTAAATCTACACATGTCTTTCCTAACTCAACAATAAAAAAGTGATATCGTAGATTAATTTATCATTTCTAATAGTAATTCTAAATGTCCCCATGAAGAAGGACTCTTACTAAGGAAACAAGTTTACTAAACAAAGCAATGTAGGAATATATACAGCAATATAGTTAAATACCCAAGCAAAGCTGGGATTGGCTCACAGCTGGCTGCGAGTGCTCATTAAACAGAAATTTACAACGTGCCATGGGAGCCAGTGCTGCAAACATCTAGGAAATGGATGTTGTGACCCACACTGTGTCCATGCAGGCCCCTCACTGTCACATCACTCTTTTGGATCTTCATGGCCAACAGGGGATGCTGAGCCCATGTCCTGCCAGTGTAATAGGTTTCGCAACTCAAGCCCCTAAGACCAGGTTAAGCCCTGGCCACCTTTTTTTTTTTTTTTTTTAAAGTATACAATTTAATACTTTTTAGTATATTCTGAATTGTGTGATCACCACCACAGTCAATTTTAGAACATTTTTATCACCCCAAAATGAAACACCGTATATGCTGCCAGGCACTTCCCATATTCTCCAAACCTCCCCCAAATCCTCCTGGCCACCTTTTTTGTCTCCTGTTTTGACTTCATCACTTCTTCAAGATGAGCCCTCTCAAGTCACTCACTACTTAATAGAATTCGTCTAATCAATTTCCTGCTTGATTCTATTATGAATTAGGTTTTTATTTTTCCTCTCTGACCAGCCACTAAATAGTCCAGGTTTTTTAATGCCATCCTTGGGTTCTGCATGCTCCTCATGGCCTTGCCTGGCTCTCTCTGCAAACACTGAGGCCCTACTGATGGCAGCCAGCCATGATTCGGCCAGAGCAGAGGTGCTCTGTGTCATGCTGAACTAGGGAGCCAACCTAGCCCCACTGTGACACTTAGAGACATCAAGATAGGCTGCCTAAGCCACTGTGTACTCTGCTGAGAGATGTCAGTCCCCAGATACTCAGAATGCTAAATACAGTAAAAAAGCTGTTGGGTCAGGATGACATGTCTGATAAACATAGCCCAAATATGTGTGATCTTACTCCTAGGTAAATAGAAAAAAATTGTAATATTATGTAGTAATATCAGTACAAGGTGCTCTATGTACATGAGCTCTAATCATCATAAATTTCTGAGTGGATACCATTATTCCCAATGAAATAGATGGCAAACTTGAGGTTCAGAGTGATTAAACTATAATGAGCTAAGAAAAAGTTACCAAGTAGAGGTCTTATTGAACTGGTGTCAACAAGCAGGAAAGACATAGTCCTATAATCTGATAGGAGCTGTTAAAATGCTGAAACTTGATTGGCCACAAAATGTAAAAGGGTGATAATAGCTACCCTGTATGGAGCACTTATTATGTGCCAGGTGCTATAGGAGAAAGAGCATAGGCTCCAGGAGTGAAAGACCCAGACTCTAGTGTCCATGCAGGCCCCTCACTCTCACATCACTTGCCCACTCTGAACCTGTTTCTTCCTCTGACAAGGGTAATAAAATTCTCCCTGTGGGCCTCTCAGGATTTCTGGGTGGCTGAAATGAGCTATGAAAAGAAGTGATTTGGAAAGAGGAATGTGCTGGAGGTGTTCAAGGGCTCAAACACCGGCTGAGTGGTCACTCTTGAGTGGTTACTTTCTGCCTGGCCCGCAAGGCATTCTAGACTAGACTGGCCAGGTCTGAATGTGGCAGCGTTTACCCTTGGTGTCGGGGATGGCATCTCCTCACGATGTGGGTGGGCCAAGTACAGCATGGGGGTCCACAGGGAGGCAGATGGGGCAGCCTGTGAGGCTTCTGGTGAGAGGCTTGGACCCGTGACTGCCAGGAAATCAGCCCTAGAGCCTTGGAGTGAGGGCAAGGGCCCAGGGAGAGTAGTGGGAGATGGAAGTGGGGATGGAGTGAGGGGATTCACTGCCTGAATTTGGAGTCCCAACTGGTCACCTACCAATGGTGGGGGTGATGGTAGTGTGTGGGCATCCATGGGTTGCATTGTCTGTAGAGAATTTAGAACAAAAATAAAAACCAGTCTGCTTTTTATTATCACCATGTGCCGGCTGTTCTAAACAATGTCAGTGATAAAATCCTCTTCCCCTTGCAGTGGGTGGGGAAGGACCATTCCCACTGCCTCTTCCTTGGCACGCCGTGGACCCCTTGTCCCTCCCCACAGTCAGCCCTTACCAAAGGGGTCAGCGAGGAGAAAGGGCCTTGGAAGACCCTGAGTACAAGGAAAGAACACTCTGGCCTATAGGGTCATTGGCATGGGTAGCTTGGATGGACTCCCAAGACGGGCCCAGCTATCCTAGAGGAAGGAAGAGTGCCCTGGGTGGAGTATGGGGTGGACAGGTTGCTGGGATGCCTACTGGAGGACTCTGAGTCCTGCTATAGTATTGTCATTGTCACCTGGGTGCCACCCCTCTGTGCCACGCGCAGGTTATAATCAATTGGCAAGCACAATGAATGACTGCTTCCTGAACCCGCCCCTCACCCCACCCCACATTCGGTTCTAAGAACATGGAAATCAGATTCTGCTTCTTGCTCTTCAGCAAGAGCTGCCCTCCCCAGGCTTCACTAGGCCAAGACTTATCAGGCAATCTGTGCTCTGCCCTATCCCTGGCGTGAGCTCTGGCCCTCACAGTGACCACCTTTCTCTCCTCTGCAGGAGCCAGGTCGAACCCACCAGTGATTCACCTAAGAATCAAGGTCCTGTAGCCACAGAGCCAGACAAGAATCAAGGTTCCATGGGCCCAGGGCCTCTGAAGGATCAAGCTCCTGTGGGCCCAGGGCCTCTGAAGGATCTAGGTCCTGTAGTCCCCACACCAGTTAAGGATCAAGATCACGTGGTCCCTGAGCCTTCAAAGAATGAAGATTCTGTGATCTCAGCACCAGTCAGGGACGAAGGTTCCTTGGTCCCGGTGTCTCTAAAGAATCAAAGTCCTACGGTTCCAGCCAGGGTTAAGAATCAAGGTTCCATTGTATCAGAGCCTCCAAAGGATCAAGGTTTCATGGTTCTAGCACCTGTCAAGGATCAAATTCCCATGGTCCCTGAGCCTGTGGTTCAAGGTCCTGTGGTTCCAGCACCTGTCAAGGATCAAGGTCCTGTGGTCCCTGAGCCTGTGCATCAAGGTCCTGTGGTTCCAGCACCTGTCAAGGATCAAGGTCCTGTGGTCCCTGAGCCTGTGCATCAAGGTCCTGTGGTTCCAGCACCTGTCAAGGATCAAGGTCCTATGGTCCCTGAGCCTGTGCATCAAGGTCCTGTGGTTCCAGCACCTGTCAAGGATCAAGGTCCTGTGGTCCCTGAGCCTGTGCATCAAGGTCCTGTGGTTCCAGCACCTGTCAAGGATCAAGGTCCTGTGGTCCCTGAGCCTGTGCATCAAGGTCCTGTGGTTCCAGCACCTGTCAAGGATCAAGGTCCTGTGGTCCCTGAGCCTGTGCATCAAGGTCCTGTGGTTCCAGCACCTGTCAAGGATCAAGGTCCTGTGGTCCCTGAGCCTGTGCATCAAGGTCCTGTGGTTCCAGCACCTGTCAAGGATCAAGGTCCTGTGGTCCCTGAGCCTGTGCATCAAGGTCCTGTGGTTCCAGCACCTGTCAAGGATCAAGGTCCTGTGGTCCCTGAGCCTGTGCATCAAGGTCCTGTGGTTCCAGCACCTGTCAAGGATCAAGGTCCTGTGGTCCCTGAGCCTGTGCATCAAGGTCCTGTGGTTCCAGCACCTGTCAAGGATCAAGGTCCTGTGGTCCCTGAGCCTGTGCATCAAGGTCCTGTGGTTCCAGCACCTGTCAAGGATCAAGGTCCTGTGGTCCCTGAGCCTGTGCATCAAGGTCCTGTGGTTCCAGCACCTGTCAAGGATCAAGGTCCTGTGGTCCCTGAGCCTGTGGTTCAAGGTCCTGTGGTTCCAGCACCTGTCAAGGATCAAGGCCCTATGGTCCCAAAGCATCTGAAGGATCAAAGTGCCAAGGTCATAACACCTGTACAGAATGAAGGGCTTGTGCTCTCTGAGCCTGTAAGGAATCAAGAGTTAGTGCTCCCAGAGCCAGTCAAGGATCAAGGTGGAGTAGTCCCAGAGCTCCTGAAGGATCATGATTCTGTGGTTCCAACACCTATAAAGAATGAAGGTCTTATGGTCCAAGCACTAGTCAAGGATCAAGACCCCATAGTCCCTCCAAAGAAACAAGGTCCTGTGATCTCTGAGCCTGTGAAGAATCAAGTTCCTATAATTCCAGTGCCTCTGAAAGCTCAAGATCCTCTGGTATCACCACCAGCAAAGGACCAAGGTCCTGTGGTCCCCGAACCTCTGAAGACTCAAGGTCCCAAGGGTCTTCAGCTGCCCACTGTCCCACCTCCACCCCCAGTTGTGATCCCAACTGTCCCCTATGCAGAATATATTGAGAGTTCCCCTTGACACTCACCCCTTGACATGCCAAGGAAGGAGCTGGCAGTGAAAGTGCTCCCTCCCAGGAGCAGCAAAGACACATATATAATCTGCATGAAACATGTACTGATGTACTGTATAGTCTTGCTGGAATCTAATAAAACTGGTCCCTCTTGCTCAGCCTTGTCTCTCTCTGACTTCATTTGAGTGAGTGAGTGAGTGAGTGAGTGAGTGAGTGAGTGAGTGAGTGTGTGTGTGTGTGTGTGTGTGTGTGGCACATGTGTGTGTGTGCCAGGCACATTTGAGAGTGGGCATGCAAGACTCTGTATTCATTCATCTGGGTCAGATGATCTGAGAAATCCCCAGTTCCTGTGCGTTGACAGCAAGGGTTGGGAGTGGATGGGAGCTGCTAGGAAACTGAGGAAAAGACCCTGTGTTTCCCCTTTACTCTCACATTCCTACCACACCTCACTTCCAACACACGTGTGGGCGTTTCCCACATCAAGCAACTATCCAACACCAGCTGCATGTCCTGACTCACCTCCCTCCCACCCTGTCTACCTGAGGACAGCATCAGCAAGCACAGGGGAAGGGCTCAGTCCCACAGTCCTGTCCTGCCCCCCAACTGCAGGCGCCAACTGCAAGTCCTGTTTTTTTTGTCACTGTACTTCTGACTAACTGGCTGTAAGTTGGAGTTCCCATAACTCACTACTTGGACTCAATAATCTGCTAGAATGGCTATCAGAACTCAGGGAAACACTAAAGTTCATCATAAAACAGTACAGATGGACATCCAGATGGAAGATACATGGAGGGTGGGGGATGCAGGAAGGAGGATGGGGCTCCCACCAGGTGCACCACTTTCCCAGTACTTCCAGAAACCTGGAAGCTCTCCAAACCCCATACTTTTGGAATTTTATGCAGGCTTCATCACACAGGTATGATAATTAATTAACTAATAATAATTAATTCAAATTCCAGCCCCTGTAGCTTGGTCTTCCTGGTGACCAGCCCCATCCTGAAGCCATCCAGAAGCCCACCCAGAGTCACCTCCTATCACCCAGGAAGTCCCAAGAGTTTTGGAGCTCTGTGCCAGGAACTGGGGACAGAGACCTGTACATACATTTTCTGTTATTTCGCATGTCAGGTCCCATGAAAGCCTAGGAACGGGTACCAGGCCACAGCCCGCAGAGCCCCCACCGCTCAGAGAGATGGCCCAGTGAGGCAGCTACGACCACGGCCTCCCGCCCCGTGTTGCAGCAGGGTGAGGCGGGTAATAAACTGGACTCTTTTGGCCTTTTTCCGATGCAGACTTCATGCATGGCCTGGTTCCTCCCAGCTGGGGCCATTTTCCAGCACCCTCCCCAGCATCCGTCATCTCCACCCCCGACCCTCTCTGCCGCCCTGGGAACCAGATGCGGACGCCTGCGCAGATGAGGGGGAGGAGGCGCAACTGGAGGGGAATGCGCTGAGGGCTCTGCACGGGGAGGCTCCCGTTCCCGGCCCAGCCAGACCCGGGTCGGCCAGCATCCAGAGGCTCGCATCCTAAGGCTGCCCCCACTCCACCCAATAGCGCCAATAGCCCTCGAACCTGGCTCTCGGCTCGGAATCTCACAGCCCAGCGCGGGAATCGCCGGGCGCACAGTCCAGCCCGCTACCGCGCGCGCACTGCACACCGCCACGCCCGCGGGGCCGCGCAGCTTCCCCGGGCTTGGGTCCGGCTTCACGCCGGCGCAGCCTGGCCAAGCGGGGCCGGCAGGGCGGGAACGACTTGCTGGGGCGCGGGTGGGAGAAAGCAGCCGGGAGCTGCGCGTGCCGACCGCGCCCTCCGAGGGGCAGGCGCAGCTTGAAGGCGACCCTCGGAACGCTCGGAGCTCCCGAGGCCTCGCCAGGGCCCCTGCCGGCTGATCTGCAGGAAGGCCGCGCTTTTACTCTGCTTGCGCCGCGATCCAGTCCCTTAGCACCTGCCCGGTGCCCCCGCCGCCTCGGCACCGTAGGACATTTGTGGGGAGCGAGGAGACGGCCCGTGCGGACTGAGGGTAAGCAAGAGGGCTCAGGTCGCACTGGAGCAGCACCTTCTTGGGTCTGTCGCGGAGAGGTTGGATCATCTAGAGGAAGAGGATGGGGAATGCGCTCTGGTTGGCCTAGTCCTCAGTCAGAAACCTGGAAATCTTTTTTTTCACCAGTTTCCAACCCTCCATTTCCAATCCATCATTAAGACCAGCCCAGTCTACCCGCTAAATAGCGATCTGCCCTCTTTCCCCTATCTCTATGGCCCTTCCTTTTTCCGCACACATATCACAATTTGTGGTTCTGTATATGAATCACATCATGGCCCTTAGGGCGTAAGAAATGTGGTATTTCTTTATCTCAATCAATCAAATTAAATCTAACTGGAGCCCTGTCTCTCACTGCCAGGGTTGGCAGGAACTCTAATATTAGTCATTTTCCCGGAGCCTAACCTTGTCCCCTGGGCTAGGTACAATTCCAGGAGGCTTAGGCCTGTCCTGAGAAGAGGACACACAAATTTACGGCTGCCCCCAGGGGAGGTGCAGGGTGGGGGGCACTGGCCACCTCACTCCCCCTGCACCGTACTTGGCTGGGGAGCTCCCAGGGCCTGCCCAGGTTGTGTGGTGGTTATGCCATTGCCCTGCACCCCTGCAGCCACCACATCTGAGCCCATCCCTCAGAGACCCCATAATCCAGCCCTGCATCTCCCTGCCTTTTCTACACACCCCTGTTCCCCAAATCAGGCCACTCTATCTTCTCACACATCAAAGCACCTCTCCTTTAATCCTCTCTCCATCTCAGGCCCCCCTAGTATCCTCCACAGTCTTAGACCTGATTCCTGGGGGAAAGGGCTGCACCATCTTACATCCCCACCAGCATTTATGAAGGTTCCATTTTCTCTTCATTTTTGTCATTTTTGTTAATTATAGCAGTGATTTCTCTGTTTATTACAAAACCTTGCATTTTTTCCTATATACCCAATAGATGTGTAATAACTATGTGTTAAGTGGGTGAGTGGGAATACAGGAAACAGAGGGTTTCTGCAGGAGTAAGAACTCAGTTTCGTACATGCTGAATGGGAAACGCCTATGGGACAGCCAGGGAGAGAGGTCTGTGAGAATTCTGGATATAGTGGTCTCTGCCTGGGACAGGGGTCTGGGACGACGGCAGAGGAGGGGACCAAACTGAAATCTGGGAAAGTATGTGAGGCCATGAGAGGGTGCATGTATCTAGGGGGAGAGGAAAGAGAAAGGAGGGTCCAAGATAGAGGCTTAGGAAACACCAACATTCAGGGGACAGGACAGGAAGGAAGCCTGCGTGGAGCCTGTCACAGAGCAGCAAAGAGGTCAGAGAACTAGAAAAGGATGTTGCTTCGGGGAAAGGATCAAGGAGGAAGGGGTCCCCCAGATCAGAGACCATGAATGCTCATCCCAGCACGAAAGTTTTGTGATGGGTTCATTAAAGTTCATTGTACTATTCTCTCAATTTGCATGTATGTTTGAAACTTTCCATATTTTCAGAATAATTTTTCAAGTATCCATCGTACTAGAAATAAAGAGATCACTGGTGAACTTGGCAACGGCAGAGTCTCTCAGGAGTGGGGGGCACAGAAACCTGATTCCAGCAAATGGAGGATGAAAAGGGGAAGCAATCGTGTGTTCTCACGCCTGATGCACGGCTCACACATCCCAGTTAGCAGCCACAGCGCACATACATCCCAAGTATTCCTGAACGAAGAGAAGATTGTGTGTGACAGTCATTAATTACTCTCAGAGTCGCAATACCTCCCACACAGGGACCATTCTCAGTGAGGCCCAGCAGCAAGCCAAGAGCTCCTCCTCAGGAGGCAATTGCATGCCAAGGAGTGCCTGCTTTGCTCCTAAATCCTAGGGGTGGCTCTTCCATCAGGGATAATCCCCTTTCCCCACACTTGCATTCACATCTGGGACCCTCACAGTGCAGCAGAGGCATCATCTCTGAGGCTTCAACAAGCACTTGGTGGGAACAGGGAGGTCCCTCCAATGGCCTCTAGGCGGCAGGAAAGCTCCACTCAGTGCCGTGATGGCCCACTGGGGGCGCTGACGTGGCTGGTCCAGCCCAGCCCTGACCCATCTACCTCTGCCCCCTGCCCTGCCACCCTCCACCCAGCAGCTCCACCCCACACAGACCTCTCCCTCCCCTCCTCACCTGTGCCCAGGTACGTGGCCTCAGAGCCCCGTTTGTGTTGTCTGGACAGCCCACACACCCAGGCCGGCTTCTGGCACTGCCCACTCCGACCTGATGGGTGAGCTGCAGCAGGCTGAACTTGGGTCCAGAGAACTGGGTTCTAGTCTTGTCTCTGCTCACATCTGAGCTGTACCTGAATTAGGATGACTTCCTGCCCAACTGGGCTATTGTGGGGGTAAGTGGGATGATGTATATAGACTGTACACAGGTTATGCACCTTTATTATTAGAATGTGGCTAGTTCCTCCCTGCCCTTTCTGTGTGGCATGGAGAACTATCCAACTAATGAGGAGTAATTCACAGCTCAGCCCCACTGGCTCTGGGGCCTCAGGCAGGTCACTTAACCTCTCTCAGCCTCAGCTGTCTCCCCTGTAAAATGGGGATAATCCCAACCTAGTCAAGCTGTTAGGAGGCTTGGATAATTACATATATCAAATGACTGACATGGTACTGGACACATAGTAGAAGCAAAACACAGACAGGACCAGCTGGTATTATTAAATCACTATTCTGCTCAACAAATGCCAATTCACCCTTTAAGTCAGCCCACATCACCTCCTCCTGGGAGGCTTCCTTGCTGTCCCCAAGGCAATCATGTTTTCCTGCCCTGGACTCCCACAGCCCCGGTGCTGCTACTCTAGCACAGCCCTTTCACTTACTTACTCACCAAGTATGTTTTTAGTGTCTGTGTGTGATGCCAGATCTAGGCTCAGGACATACAGTGATGAATAAGACATGGTCCCTGTTCTCAGGAAGCCCCCATTCTGGAGGGGCAGGGGTGCTGAGAGTCAGTGTGTCAATAGGTGGATAATTTCATAACACAAAGGAATCAGTAAAAGGAGAAAAAAGTAGAGAAACAGGTGGGAGAGAAGCACTTACATTGGGTGGTCAGGGAAGGCCATGAGCAAGTGACATTCAAGCTAAGTTCTGGATGACTAAAAAGAAGCCCTGCAAAAATTTGTAAGAGCCAGTTGCCAGGCAGAAAGAACAGCTAGTGCAAAGGCCCTGAGGCAAGGGAATAGTGTGTCTAGGAACAGAAGGATCCAGAGGACTGGAACAGTGTCTTGAGCATACTTGTAACTATCCCTGAGTTTCCACATCTAGATGAAGGCCCTTGAGGGCAGAGATCTTATTGGGCCCAGAGCAAGAAGAGACTTGGAGCACCCAACAGTTGTGTTGAAATTCTGCTGTGGTGATCATGGGAGTAAATTCGTTGGCCCTTCTGCAGCCCCATTCACATCTTGGGAGGACTCCTACTGGGTTGCCCAGCCAGGCAGGGGCTCCCTCCCTGGACCACTGCACAACTCCCAGGACAGAGTTGTCAGCAGAGGAAAACCAGAGAGGTGACCAGAGAGGGAGTGGCCTTACCAAGGTCACACAGCCAGCAAGCAGCAGAGATGCAGCTCAAATCATTTCCTCTGATCCTCTGCCTACCCAGCCATAGGTCTTTTGTCCCCTGTGTCCCACTCACTCTCTCCCTCCCTGAGCTGTGGTGTCAGGAGCCCCAGAGACCATGAGAGGGAACCAACATGAGGACTGTCAGGTTCCTCCTCCTTTTCTACTACAAACCCAGAGCAAGGATGCCACAGCTCCTTCCTTCCAAAGCCCTGCCTAGTCAGGCAGCCTGAGCTTGGGCCCTCCATCCCTGGGTGTGGATGAAGTCAGCTGGAAGTGAAAGCTGGCTGGGCAGGACCCGAATGCCCTGGGCTCCAGGTCCAATGCTGTCATTCCGGCCCTGCAGCCGCAACTCTCAGAGTACCCAGAGCCCAA